TAACAAAGACTTTTAGTATCACAGCCACGATTTAGCCTTTATTTTTTATTGAACTGTATCGAATCGATTTGAAATATATCATATCGAATCGAAAGTGCACTGTATCGAGGTATGTATCCTATCGTGGCCTGTGTATCGAGGTATGTATCGTATCGGCAACTTCTTAATGATACCCAGCCCTAACTACTACTACTACGACTACTACTACTAAAGGAACTGAACAATTTCAATAAAAATCTTCAAGCTGAGTTGAGCCTTGTGTGTGTTTCCCTGTTTTTTAATTAAAGACTTGACACGTACCTTTAAAAAACACAACACTCCTTTGTGAGCGACGTCACTGTAACTGATCCAGCTGCATCTCCTGCTCGCCTCTATGTCTATGGAGAGATAATTAACGCCATATGCTGGAATATTCAATGCAAAGTAATAAAATCTCCACGGTGATAAGAAGGTAACGGACCTCCCCTCTGGAAAAGTTACACAGTGAACCTTTAAATCTTAAGAGCGCTAGAAGTGAAAATGACATTTCTGCTCATAACAGCAAGACACTGAAATCTCAATACATATTAATGCATGTTCAATAAATACTAATTAATAGCTAAGTAACAGGTAATTAGCAGAACAGTTACCACAGAGTGTTTGATACGTGGTCCCTAAATTAAAGTGTTACCTTAAGTTCTTTTGTTTGTTTTGAATTTTCAAAGAAAATACAATATAACATTAAACAACATTCAATCATAAACATGAAAATAAGACACAAAATATTACCTAAAACAAACATAAAACAACAAAGCTCACCACCCCTAACCCACCCTTTCCCCCTAAACACAAACACACAAGTTTAAGTAAAATAAATATATATACAAGAAAGAAATTAAAGTAATGAGTGTGTAGACTCCCTGAGTCGTGCAGGCAGAGGTTCTTCAGTTCAGAGCTGAAGGAGCAGCTTAGATGAGCTGAGAAACATTTTCAACATAAATAAACGTTTGTCCAGTTGACAAATTGAATTTCTCCTTTGCCAGTGAAGTCATGTGGTCGAGCAGTATCACTGTACTGTTAGGGCTCCTTATATTTGTATTTTAGCCTATTTATAATTTCATTTTCCTTTCTTCCTTTCTTTTTTTCCCCCATTTTAATCAACACATTTAGTCACTATTAGGGACGGGCATTCGATGAAATTTTCTTAATCGATCGTCGGAAGAATTAACGATCAATTATCGATTAATCATTAACGTTTTTATATTAAAATGATCATCATTATTATTACTATCTGCACTAATCTGCATAAATAAATTCAACTTTACGACATATAAACCGTAACGACTCTAGAGCCACATCAGCCCGTTTGACATTATAATGTGTTTAATTCAGTTTTGTTCAAATCTCACAGAAACAAAACTTAAAACCACATCGCTAATTTGCATAAACTCAGCGAAGATAAAACTACAGCTCTTGTGTCGCTGATGCAGTCAACTTCTGTCGGATTAAAAGACATGACTCAGGTGAATACAGGTTAGTGTGACCAGATTTGCGTTTGTCAAAACCAGGACACACCGTACGGGGGGAGGGAGGGCGGGGACTCGTCATCAACATTGAGCGACTCTCACCTGGCAAAACTTTTTCCCACTGGACACACAGAAACATATGTGCTGCTTTATACACTGTGCACATGGACTCACACTTGTCCCAACGCAACGGAAAGCGTGGAATTTCTTGTACAAATCATCGTTAAATACGCATTTGTGCTTCGGTACGTTGCAGACTGACCGAATGTTTGTGTCTCGCTCCTTCTGATGCAGAGACACATGTACTGACCCTGTTTGGTCACACTACGCACAGCAACCTGCATTCGGTTTGTCGATTAAAATTAACGTAATCGATGAAATTCTTAATGATCAATTATCGATTAATCATGCCCATCCCTAGTCACTCTACTGCCCTACAAAGGCAGAGCGCTGTAACATCATGTTGTTATTAGGTTCTTTTTTCAGACCTAGAGTTTTGTTTCATACCTGACAGTTTGGACTGCTCCCTGTGGTCTTCCTCAGAGTCTCGTGATGTCGCTGTGACGTGTCCGGTCAGCTGGTTTATACAGGTTTTGGCGCACGTCTTCCTACTGGTGGAGGCAGGATGAAAGCTCCATCTGCAGTTCGACTTCCTCAGGACTGTATCCCAGGTGTGTGAGAGTAAAAAATCCCCCTCATCCCGGTTTATAATCTTGTAGGCATCGTTGCTGGATTAAAGAGGCAATCGAATTACGGAAATGCGCCAACAGGACTATACAGGCTTTTTCACTCTCACACACCTGGGATACTGTTCTGAGGATGTCGGACTGCAGGTGGCGCTGTCGTTCTGCCTCCACCGGTAGGAAGACAGCGCCAAAACCTGTATAAACCAGCTGACCGGACACGTCACAGCAACATCACGTGACTCTGAGGAAGACCACAGGGAGCAGTCCAAACTGTCAGGTATGAAACAAAACTCTAGGTCTGAAAAAAGAACCTAATAACATAAAATATCTGAAGACCAAATGAATCTCATTGGGCCGTAACATCATGTTTGGTCCAAAATGAGTTCATGTCATTTTGTTTGTACCTCCTTTATCATGTGAATAAATATTGAGCCCAAAATTTACCTTTGACTCTTATTTGTCAGTTCCTGTTCTCTGCCTTTGTATCATGAGCCAAAAATAAGGAGTCATGCAAAGACAAAAGGAAGTAACAGTGTATGTTTTGTTGGTGATTTAGTTCATAAATCTATTAATAAATGTATGAATGCAAGAAACGTCTGTCTGTGTGTCCTCCTATTTATTTGTCTGTCGCATAACTCTCGAACCGCTCATCCGACTGATCTCAAATTCGTAGGGTGTCATCCCAGTGGTACAAGTGTGTGCAGTGCCAAGTTTCATGTTGTTACAGCAAAAAATCCTGATGATCTTTCAAAATGAGTGATATATTTTAAATACTAGTTTTATTTTAAAGTCCAACCTCTCACCTCCTTTTTGTTGTTGCGGCCTTGGCACAGAGTCTTAACACATTGAATAAATAAACCTTTGTGTTCAATTATACTTAAATTATCTTTAATGTGAAAGTGTTTTGTTTATTTATTCACACTGTACACACTTGACTGCAAAATCAAACTGTTGAACTGTGTAAGTGTCACCACATGATCCTGATCGGCACTAAAGAGGAAATCCAAAGCTCTTCTATATCATTTCAAACAAACTCCATGATGTTTAGACCCTGGTGAGGTTCTTAAAAGGAGAAATGCAGTGATTTCAGGGGGGAATAAAAGGCAGATTTTAAGTGATCCAACTGATTTCTTAGTTTTTGTAGCCGCTTTTATGTATTTTTGTATTTGGTTTGCTCAAAATTTGGATGTTATCTCAAATTAAATGTGCTAATAATAAGTCTCAGCACTGTCAGCAGGTCTCAAAGTACTTTTTACTTTTCAATCCAGTCTCCTGAAATGGTTTTCACTTCTGCTGTGAAGTGAACAGCTGTAAGTAAAAGTACAGATGCAAAGGTAAAAAGTTTCTCAAGTAAAAGTATCACATGAAAAAGAAATCCAGTGTTAAGTGTTAAAGTACCTGTTAAAAATGTACTTTAAGAGTAAAAAGTAAAGGTAGTTTGCAGATAATCGATGGAAGTCTGAGGAAAATCAAACAAACAATAATAATCATGTCAGTTTCTGCTTTTTGCCTTTGCACGGCTTTTTATTTTTGGCTCATGATCCAAAGGCAGAGAACAGGAACTGACAAATAAGAGTCAAAAGTCAATTTTAAGCTTAATATTTTTCACATACAAATATTTCTTTATTACAGCAACTACTTGTCAAATTTTGGGAGCCCTACAGGTTATAATTTTGTCTGGACAAAAAAGTATAAAGTAATTTTTCTCAGTTTCACACTCAGTATACTTAATATTTTTTTCACCATCGTCATTTCCTTTCATTATCTTTTTATTTTTTACTACAATTTTAAAGTGTAATTTTAAAGTTTTTTTTCTTTTTCTTCCCCCCTTTTTCTTTCTGTTTGCTTCAGAAATATCAACAAGAAATGTATTGTTTAAATGCAAGTAGGGGAACAGGACTGAACCAGGTCTAAAACCAGGTCTGAACCAGGTCTAGACCAGGTTTAGACTGGGTCTAGACCAGGACTGAACCAGATCTAAATCAGCACTAAACCAGAACTAAATCTAGGTCTAAACTAGGACTAAAACCAGGACTAAACCAGATCTAAATCAGCACTAAACCAGGACTAAATCTAGGTCTAAACCAGGACTAAACCAAGACTAAAACCAGGACTAAAACCAGGTCTAAACCAGCACTAAACCAGAATTAAATCTAGGTCTGGGCCAGGTCTGAACCAGAACTAAAACCAGATCTAAATCAGCACTAAACCAGGACTAAAACCAGGACTAAACCAGGACTAAATCTAGGTCTAAACCAGGACTAAAACCAGGACTAAAACCAGGACTAAAACCAGGACTAAACCAGGTCTAAACGAGCACTAAACCAGAACTAAATCTAGGTCTGAACAAGGACTGAACCAGGCCTAAAACCAGGTCTGAACCAGGTCTAGACGAGGACTGAACCAGGTTTAGACCAGGACTAAACATTAACATGTACTGTCCCTTTACACATAAATAAGAAATAAGAAATTCTTTACGATTAACATGATTTTTCGTTGACTATTTGCTTAAAAAAGATTGGATCCATTTACAATTTTCATTCAGTTAATTATTGTTCATGTTAATCATAAGTTTATCTGAGTCATGTTTATTTTTTTGTATTATTTTGCGTTTATGGCTCCTTACTTAAGACAAGTGCGGGCGCATCACGGGACAGTTTTTTGACCTCCTGTTCCCCCTTTTTGGTACATTTGTATGTCCTCAACTACACGTGAAAACTCGGTAAAGAGTTTTTAACAGCAAAAAATGCAAGTAGGAGCTGGTATTTTCTGGAATTCATGTAAAAATAAAACACTATACCACAAAAAGTACACAAACATGTCTTTAATTAAGAAGAAAACAATTAAACAAGCTCCACACGTTTGGAATTCTGTTTAACAAAGGGCTTCATTTTGGATCAGTAAACAACAACAACAACAAAAAAAGCAATTTAATTTTAAGTACAATTAATTTTCCAGGATTTCTAGATTACAAAAGCTGTTAAACTTTTTTGGGACTTTTGATGAACAGTGATAACGAGGAAATAAACAGGCCTGAGTAAAAAAAAAAAAAAATGCGTTTCCAAAATTTCGACACAAATTCACAAAACTAAACATTATTCGCTTACGTTTTCACAGAACCAAACTCGCACAGAGAACTACAAACTCAACATAAAATGGCCGCCGCTAAACTTTCCTCTTCTGGGTGCTGATGTAGAGAACTGCAAGAGAAAAAGGGGAAAAGCGTGAAACTCTCGACGCTCAGATACGGAAAAGCGTCGAGTCCGAGTCTACGCCGCCGTCCGTCCGTCCGTCCCCCCTATACCGAAAAAGCGTGACACCGCGATGAGACGGTGTAGAATCTCCGGGCCGAGTGCAATTACTGTCACTAAAAACTGTCATTTTCAAATCACTTTTTGCCTCCCCGTCTCCTCTACTTTTAGTAAGCTGCTCATTTTGGCCCTGAAATAGAAGTATACGGGTAGAGCTTTTATCGCACTCAGCACTCCACCTGCCAGCGTGAGTCACGGAGCTGAAGAGGGCCACAGATATAATACGCCGCTCGTGTGAATAGACCATTACGGAGCGCCGAGAGGTCGGAGGTCAGCGGAGGATTGATTAAGCAGTGTTTTCTTTTCCCTTTTCTTCGACGCCGCATTGATTTTCACGCACCGGCCGAAGAAAAATGACAAGCTTTAAGATGGAGGAACAACGCAACTTGAGTTTTCACATTCTAACGATCGCAGGGAAAAGGCCCACTGACTTTTGTTTATTTATAGTTTTCTAATTAATGTCGGGGAGTAACGGATTACATGTACCGGAGTTAAGTAATCAGAGTACAAATTATGAGTAACTGTATTCGGTTACAGTTACTGTTTCAGTGAGTGGTAATTGGATTACAGTTACTTTGCTGAAATAAATGGATTACAGGGCGAGATTTTCCTGTTTTCACGTTTTGGGCTAAACCAGGACTAAAACCAGGTCTAAACCAGGTCTAAACCAGGACTAAACCAGGACTAAACCAGGTCTAAACCAGGTCTAAACCAGGACTAAAATCAGGTCTAAACCAGGTCTAAACCAGGACTAAAACAGGACTAAACCAGGACTAAAAGGACTAAACCAGGACTAAAACCAGGACTAAACCAGGACTAAAATCAGGTCTAAACCAGGACTAAACCAGGACTAAACCAGGACTAAAACCAGGTCTAAACCAGGTCTAAACCAGGTCTAAACCAGGACTAAAATCAGGTCTAAACCAGGACTAAAATCAGGTCTAAACCAGGACTAAAAACAGGTCTAAACCAGGACTAAAAATCAGGTCTAAACCAGGACTAAAATCAGGTCTAAAACCAGGACTAAAAAGGTCTAAACCAGGTCTAAACCAGGACTAAAATCAGGTCTAAACCAGGACTAAAATCAGGTCTAAACCAGGACTAAAATCAGGTCTAAACCAGGTCTAAACCAGGACTAAAACCAGGTCTAAACCAGGTCTAAACCAGGACTAAACCAGGACTAAACCAGGACTAAACCAGGACTAAAACCATGTCTAAACCAGTTCTAAACTAGGAATAAATCAGGACTAAACCAGGTCTAAACAATATGACACTAACAGTAGGATGGACATACTTTAAGGCAGCAGTGATCTCATAATAGAAATCATTTCTCTATCAATAATATTTTTAATTTGGTTAAGGAAAGACTAAAGGCTTTTTATTTTCTTTTAACAGACAAAACATCTTATGTTAAGATTTTAGTCTTTGCTACTTTACAGCAAACAAACTCCTGTTCATGGAGACTTGGGCTCAACAGACAATTTGAAGAGAACAAACAAGAATTTTCAGGATGTGGTTGTTACATTCATGTAGTTTTAAAAAGCACGACAATATCAAGTAATCCAAAGTATTCAGATTATGTTACTCAATTTAAATAATTCAATGGATTATGTTACAAACTACATTTTGGTGTGTGTAATCTGTAATCTGTAGGTGGATACATTTTAAAAGTAATATTCCCAACACTGGGTTTCAATACATGTTAAATATTCAAATGTATTCCTGAATTTTTTATAAAACAGATGCTGACCCACTTTTACATCATATACTAACGATTTTTGGCTTCTACTTTCACTGTCTGCAATTTCAGAAAACGTTTTGAGAAACATTCACCAGTTTCAACAGGTTCAATGCTTTTTCATGGCCACTTAATACATTATTTTTTCTGATTATTCTAAGTAGATGGTCTTTTGTATCACACAGGGTTGTCAAAAGTATCAAAAATCAAATACTGCATTTATTTAAAGCATCAATACTGAAAAATTATGACAAAATTTGACTTTTCTTCAACAGTTTTAGAGTAATCTTGAATTTTAGCAACACTGGTAGAGAACCACGTGGTAACTAATGCCAGACATACACTGTGTCATATTTTCGATCATCGTTTCACTCAGCCCCAGCTCAAACTGTACGACCAAATCGCAAGGTTGAAAAATTCACAGCTCACGATTCATGTTATTGGGTTCTTTTTTCAGACCAAGAGTTTGACGTTTTCAACTGCTCACTAGTGTCAGGTACGAAAACAAACTCTTGGTCTGAAAAAAGAACACAATAACAAATTATCGGAAGACCAAATCAACCTCATTAGGCTCACGATTCATGTTCTCATACTACACGATCCAATACTCGATGCGAAATCCTCACAAGGCGACTGGATTTCAAACAGGTTTGATATTCTTACGACCTACGGTTGCCGATCGGGAGCTGGTCGTGAGGTATTAATCGGTTCTCGTTATCCCATGTTTACTACATGAAACACGACACATGATTAAGTGAAAACTCGGATTATTGTTTAAATGTAAACTACTTTCATTTATTGTCATATTGAGAGAAAATCAAATCCAAAATTCAAATCAAATTCAAAGTCGCACAAATGAAAAATCGTCTCGAAAACGGCCAAAAAAAGCGCACAGTGTACGGCCGGCTTAACCCACTGTAGAATCAAAATTTGTATCGAGGCTTTTCCTTAGTACCGAAATCAAGTTTTAGTACAGTGACAGCATTTTGCTCATGTCTGAATGAAATTGATAAGCTTAAAAATAAATAATGTCAGAACTTCTAACAAAGAAACAAGCTCTGTAAGTTTCTCTCAAAACAGAACTTGTAGTGTAGAGTCAGACTGCACCGATTTAGACATTGACAATATTCATGATAATTACAATATCGACTTATTTTTCAGTATAAAAGCTGAAACAGTAATTTTTGCGGCTTTATCGTGTGTACAATTTTTTGTAAGAGTGGACAGATTGTAGCCATTTTTTTTTGTACTATAAGATTTCAGCAGAAGAGAGTAGAATAAATAACTTTAATTATTTATTGGTTCATTTTGCTATTTATTTGTTGCAACTCATGCGTTTTAATTACACTGTATATGTAAAAATAGGTTTACCGAGAGTATCCTTTTTTGTGTCAGTGGCTTTAATATCAGTAGTTTTAATTATTATCGTTTGTCACAATAAATCATGTTCAAAATTTCATGACAGGCCTTTTTCTGTGTGTATTTTTTTATACTGAAATGACAAATACAATCAGATTCAATACGTAGCAGTAGGCCAACATAACACATTCTTTACGAGTTTATTTTAAAAACTGGATTCAAACAAAGTGCAATTTTGTCTTATGTAACCTTTTATTTTATTCCTGGAAGCTTGAACTGAGTTATACAGTAATGTCTGAAATAACCACTTATCCCCAGGACGTACCATTGTTTCCTCTCAGAAAAGCATCTCCATATTTGTTCTTGAGCTGCCCGTTCACGTACTCTTCCGTCTGCTCTATGGCGATGTTCATGTAGCCGTCCAGACACGCCAGAACACCTGTCCACAAAAAGGTCACGGTTATAATTTATAGGTTCTTACATTTAGCAAAGAGTGACCGAGATTTTCAAAATAAACTGGGACACTCTCGATTTGGAGTGGTTGGTTATAACAGAGTATCCCCAGGTTTGACCACCTCAGATTGAAGACTTTTTTAAGACCTTTTTAAGACCAGTTAAAAGAAAATTAAGACCAACATCACACCCATTATGTGGCGAAAACACACCAGATCCAGTTCAAATAATGACCAACCAACTACTGCATCTAGAATCTAAGAGCCACTGTGGATTAAACCTACACTTCCCCATGATCCATCCAGCGTCTTCCTCCACTCTACTGATCGTTTACTCATTGCTGCCGATGTCAGAAACCAAAGTATTTTTTTGTGCATACTCCAAATTAGACATTCATTCACGTTACATGATCTCACGTTGGTTTTTTCTCCTTTTTCCCTCCGTTTAAAGTCGCACTGCAGCCTGGTTACAAAAAAAATTGTCAAATGAAATTTAAGACCTTTGTGAAAAAATAAGACTTGGACAACACAATGTAAGACTTTTAAAGACCTTAATTTAGGAACATGAAATTTAAGACCGTTTTAAGAGTTGTAAGACCCTGCGGCTACCCCGAATAATAATAATTATTGTGAAACGAGGGCGTAATTATTAAGGAGAATTTGTTCTGCACTTGGACCATTCATGACTAACATGTGAGTCAATAGTCACTTTTTTTGTTTACTTATTTCATTCATAAAGTAATAAAAGACATTAACGGTGTCACAACATCAAACATACAAGAAATTAATGAAAAGGAGAAGAAAGAAAGAGTAAACTTATGTGATCTACCCCCTTTTCTCTTTTCCAGACAATACATCAACACCGATAGTTACTTGAAAACATTTCATCAGTACAAAAATAACAAATTTGGAGTGCTACGCTGGATCAAAAAACTTACACATACATGCGCTCATCAAACCGGAGGGCTTAGATTCTCATAAAGTAGAAAAACGGATGGCAGAGGCTCTGATTTGCGGTGAATTTATTAATAGTCACACCAACGCGTTTCGACTACTTAGTCTTCATCAGTACATTTGATTTCGGTCACAATTATTAATCAATTGCAAACGCACAACAACTTAGTTTCCTTTTTCATACGTACACACTGCACTGGATTTTATGTGTTTTTTTTAAATGCCATCATTGTACTTCTTTCATTCTTTAATATCTTTGTCAAGACTATTCCTATTTATTTATGGATTTATTATGCATTTTCTTTGTGTTTTGGTCATTTTTAACTAGCTTTTCTGTATTTTACCGCAACAAATGACAATATTTGCATCTCTTTATTGTTGGCAGGGATCAGATTGGTCAAAAATAGGGACACTTGGGATATTTCTTGTATAAAACTGGGACAAATGGCTCAAAACTGGAACTGTCCCGGGTAAATATGGACGTCTGGACACCTTCATTTATCACAGGCATAATTAAACATATTACTTTACCTCTGTAATCCACTCCAGAGTTGAGTTTGACTACCACGGGTCTGCCGATGATCTGCTTCAAAAAGTCACTGGGCGTTTGTTTCCTCAGACTCATTTTGACTGAAATTATAAACACATAAACACACATTGTTACTGCGGAGGGCTTGTGCACACGCTAACACAGCTTCAGTGATGCCAACAACAGCTTTTAAACCTGTCAAACTCTTAACAATTAAAGCCAGGTGTAATATTAAGCAGGACGCGTGCATTTTGTGTCGATGGATGAACTAATGCGCAATGTTATGGGGCAAAAGTGAGACGGATCGTGCAGGCTGAGTTAGCGGAAGGCTAGCATGCTAACGTGCTAAGAGGCTAAAAGGCCGATACTCTTTCATTAGGACGGAGCGATGCGTGATCTGTGGAGTTCAAAAGTTTTATTTGCACGTCTGAATTAAAGTGTAGGTTTAATAAATCGCGGCGTACCTTAGTTTAAGCTTAGTTTGATGTTCGGATGTTGCGGGACGTTCATACAACGACACTATGCGGCACGAGGCTCGGATTGACCAATCACAGGCTTGTTTTGAGTACGGCAACTCACGCGGGGCAAAATAGATAAAGCACAGAGCTATACCGTGGATCTATTAAAATAAATGTGCTAAAAAAAATAAATAAAATAAACTATGGTAAAAAATAAAGTGTGATAAAATAACTGTGGTAAAAATAAAGTGTAGTTAAAAAAAAAAAAAAAAAAAAAAAAAACGTTCTCATTTTTACGGTTTGTTTGTTTACTTCCTTTCCGTCTTACATTAGGTTGCATAATTTATTAGTTTAAATAGCCTATTTGAAAAAACTTAGGTGAACATCATATTACATTTATTTTGCTATTTAAATGAATTATTTATATTTACATTTAACATTTAAAACATTTTAAAACAACTGCACAACTTAAAAATAAATTGCCTTGGCCAACTAAATGTGACAATTTAGACTTTATTGATCCACAAGGGAAATTATTTAGACACAGTAGCTCACACATCACAATAGTACAATGGTAATAATAAATTCTAAATAAGTAGCAAAAAAAGATGACAAGAGACTGGAATTATATAAATGTAAATGTACAAGTCAAAATAAAATAGAAAGATAAGTAATAATAAAATATAAAATCACAGCTTTATACAAAAGATCATATGAAAATAGTGCAACATTGATATGATGATCGACAGGACACAGGGTTATCCGTTACATAAGGGTGAGGGGTTGTACAGTTGTAGGGAGTATTATCTGTTCCTCTATAGTCTGGTGCACTGAGCAAGAGTGTCCATGATAGAGAGCAGTTTGTAGATTTTATAATTTATTAGTTTAAATAACCTGTTTTTGTTTTGTTTTTTTGTTTGTTGTTGTTGTTGTTGTTTTTTGTAGTTTTTTTCTATTTTAATTAATTATTCGTATTTAAAAACATTTAAAAACAACAATAACAACAACACAACTTAAAATGAAATTGCCTTGATCGACTAAATGTGACAGTTTTATTTTTATATTACATTACAGTGACCAGACGTCCCTATTTATCCAGGACAGTCACAGTTTTGAGTCCTGTGTCCCCTCTGTCCCAACAGATTTAATCAAAACCAGTGATTTGTCTCAGTTTTATACAAGAAATGTCCCAGGTGTCCCTATTTTTGACAAATTTGATCTAAGAAATTAGTCTAGTCCGCATTAGATTTAAACCAGGACTAAAACAGGACTACATCAGGTCTAAACCAGGACTAAAACAGGACTAAACTAAGACTAAACCAGGACTACATTAGGTTTAAACCAGGACTAAAGCAAGACTACATTAGATTTAAACTAGGACTAAAACAGGACTAAACCAGGACTACATCAGGACTAAACTAAGACACAACAGGACTACATAAGGTCTAAACCAGACTAAAACAGGACTAAACTAAGACACAACAGGACTACATCAAGTCTAAACCAGGACTAAAACAGGACTAAACTAAGACTACACCAGGACTACATCAGGTCTAAACCAGGACTAAAATAGGACTAAACTAAAACTACTCCAGGACTACATCAAGTCTAAACCAGGACTAAAACAGGACTAAACTAAGACTACACCAGGACTACATCAGGTCTAAACCAGGACTAAAACAGGACTAAACTAAGACTAAATCAGGACTACATCAGGTCTAAACCAGGACTAAAACAGGACTAAACTAAGACTAAACCAGGACTACATCAGGTCTAAACCAGGACTAAAACAGGACTAAACTAAGACTACACCAGGACTACTTTAGGTTTAAACCAGGACTAAACCAGGACTAAACTAAGACTACACCAGGACTACATCAGGTCTAAACCAGGACTAAACTAAGACTACACCAGGACTACATCAGGTCTAAACCAGGACTAAACTAACACTACACCAGGACTACATCAGGTCTAAACCAGGACTAAAACAGGACTAAACTAAGACTACACCAGGACTACATCAAGTCTAAACCAGGACTAAAACAGGACTAAACTAAGACTACACCAGGACTACATCAAGTCTAAACCAGGACTAAAACAGGACTAAACTAAGACTACACCAGGACTACATCAGGTCTAAAACAGGACTAAACTAAGACTACTCCAGGACTACATCAAGTCTAAAACAGGACTAAACTAAGACTACACCAGGACTACATCAAGTCTAAACCAGGACTAAAACAGGACTAAACTAAGACTACACCAGGACTACATCAGGTCTAAAAACAGGACTAAACTAAGACTAACACCAGGACTACATCAACTAAAACAGGACTAAACTAAGACTACACCAGGACTACATCAAGTCTAAACCAGGACTAAAACAGGACTAAACTAAGACTACACCAGGACTACATCAAGTCTAAACCAGGACTAAAACAGGACTAAACTAAGACTACTCCAGGACTACATCAAGTCTAAAACAGGACTAAACTAAGACTACTCCAGGACTACATCAAGTCTAAAACAGGACTAAACTAAGACTACACCAGGACTACATCAGGTCTAAACCAGGACTAAACTAAGACTACACCAGGACTACATCAGGTCTAAACCAGGACTAAAACAGGACTAAACTAAAACTACTCCAGGACTACATCAGGTCTAAACCAGGACTAAACTAAGACTACACCAGGACTACATCAGGTCTAAACCAGGACTAAAACAGGACTAAACTAAAACTACTCCAGGACTACATCAAGTCTAAAACAGGACTAAACTAAGACTACACCAGGACTACATCAAGTCTAAAACAGGACTAAACTAAGACTACACCAGGACTACATCAGGTCTAAACCAGGACTAAACTAAGACTACACCAGGACTACATCAGGTCTAAACCAGGACTAAAACAGGACTAAACTAAAACTACTCCAGGACTACATCAAGTCTAAACCAGGACTAAACTAAGACTACACCAGGACTACATCAGGTCTAAACCAGGACTAAACTAAGACTACACCAGGACTACATCAGGTCTAAACCAGGACTAAACTAAGACTACACCAGGACTACATCAGGTCTAAACCAGGACTAAACTAAGACTACACCAGGACTACATCAGGTCTAAACCAGGACTAAAACCAGACTAAACTAAGACTACACCAGGACTATACTAGGTTTAAACCAGGACTAAAACAGGACTAAACTAAGACTACACCATGACTACATCAGGTCTAAACCAGGACCAAAACAGGACTAAACTAAGACTAAACCATGACTACACCAGGTCTAAACCAGGACTAAACTAAGACTACTCCAGGACTATACTAGGTTTAAACCAGGACTAAACTAAGACTAAACCAGGACTACATCAGGTCTAAACCAGGACTAAAACAGGACTATCACAACTTTTGACTGATCAGATCCTCTCCAACAGTAAAGAGGAGCATAAATCATCATTTGTTTCACCAAAATACACAAAATCTTGTTTGCAAATGTCAATAAAGCAAAAAAATGCAGCAACAGAAGTCTCTCAGATCATGACTGAAGCAAGAATCCACACTCTTATTTCACAATTTTATTTATACCAGCGATTCCGACCCGGGTGTATCTCAGTTTAGAATTGTGAAAATCTGGTCACCCTATATTACATTAATTAATAAAGTATCTCTCTTTCTCTCTAATTATTAACATAGGAAGGTTATGTTCAGATTCGGCTTATTCATGGGTTTCAAACTATGGAAATTCAAATCAATATATTTTACGTTTTGAATGTGCAAAGGTCGTTTAAATCAAGAAGGATTTATTTGTCTGAAACCCATGACCTCTGAACTGAAATTTCACTCTCGGACCTGGAGCAGACTTTGAAGTGGGCGGGATTGCAGAGCCCCATTAATATCTAGTTAAATTCTAACTCATTAAGTCCTCATGTACATTTCAATATTTGTTTTTATCCGAGTGATAATACACAGTGAGGCCCAGATGTAAACTTCCATTCACTTTCACAAACACATGTGCCAGGATGTTTTGTCTGTTGCGTCTCATCTTTTTGTCCGAGATCTGCACAACGTGAGCCTATATTTGCAAATAAGTTCTGAAAATGTTTGTATGATTGGAGGAGAAATAAGGGTTCTTCTTTTCCTCCCAACAACAATGCGAGCCTTGATGTGGACTTGGATGATACTGGGCAGAGGGCAGAGCTGCTCTCCAGATGTGATTGTGGTTACTTAGATCTGGCACCCGCAGAACAAAAGCAGAGGAGGCCTTTTCAGATGCAGAATTTCATTTTCTCTTTATTCAAACCATGTACTTTTTAAATAATATAACATATTTACTCCAAACAGGCAAAAAAACATGAAACATACCACGTTTTACAAATGCCCCCTGATCTGCCCCAGAACAGATGATCAGATTTTTAAGATGGACTATGGTTTAGGCCGTGTCAAAGTGTACAATTATTATGCACTTGTTTTTATATTAAAATGCATTTACATAAATTAATTCTTGCACTGGCACACAGACTAAGGGTGATTTAGAAATATTTTGTAAATTGTGTTTTTTATTTCAGAGTATAGCTGTTTCATTTGCATTCAGAGCATTACATTCACTTTAATACATAATGTTTTCTTTTTCAAACAGAAGTTTACCCTGTTTGAGATACTGTGAGGAGCTCAGTCACACGGGAGGAGCTCGGAGTAGAGCCGCTGCTCCTCCACGTCGAGAGGAGCCAGTTGAGGTGGCTCAGGCACCCTCGGGAGGTTTTCCGGGCATGTCCCACCGGGAGGAGGCCCCGGGGAAGACCCAGGACACGCTGGAGGGTCTATGTCTCTCGGCTGGCCTGGGAACGCCTTGGGGTCCCCCCAGAGGAGCTGGAGGACGTGTCTGGGGTGAAGGAAGTCTGGGACTCCCTGCTTAGGCTGTTGCCCCCGCGACCCGGCCCCGGATAAGAAAATGGATGGATGGAAGTTTACTCAACACTACAGCGCAGTAGACAGTCTGGCGCCACCTAGTGCCTCCGCTCAATTTCATTTCTCTCCAGCAACTAGGTCAGGAATCAAAATACACTAGACGGTTCACAAAAACCTCAGAAGTGTGAGTTCAGGCACCAGTCAATCAGTGAAGAGCCAT